CTCCTCCTCTGCTTTCTTTATCTCCCCTCTCCTCCGCTTCAGCTGCAGCTGCAGCCTTCACCCTGATAATCACTTCATTTATTTTCTGCTGACTTCATTCTGCAGAGGTTGCTGGTCTGATTCTTGGCCTGTGCTGATAACAGGCGGAGGCAAAGGACACGTTTCGACTAAATGATTTGTTTTCTTTCCTTCCCTCCAGTAAGTGAACCACTCAGAGCATTAAACGGAGCTCAGCCACCAGGAAGTAACCAAACTGAACACCATCACAGCAGCCTGGTGATTACACTGCGTCTGCATCAGTGATTACACAGCCTCGGTCTCTAACGAGAAAAAAAAAAAAATCAGCCTCATCACAGGGAGGAAATGAAGGTGGCCAAGGTTAGCCCACCGCACACAGTCATAATCATTATCATGTCCTGTTATTGCTAGAGTAAGTGTAGAAAAAAAAATCTAATTTATTTTTAAGTGTAGAAATATTTTTTATTCTGCTCTACCATATGTTGTTAATATATTCTCAACATAATAATAACTGTATATTCACTCATCCATTGGTTCAGGGGGGATAATCGTAAGTAAATTCAGACAAATTTGTTTTGTGAATTTGGGCTACACAAAAACAAACTTGACCCAATTATAAATAGAAAGAACATATTAATAAATATATGATAAATCACAATCCTTCGACTATATTCAAATATTTTCCCTGGTCCAGTTTTAATTCCGCATGGAAAGGCAGAGGCATTAGGTTTCAACACAAATCTACATGTTTGCATGTTCAGAGTAAATAGATTTATTTATTAAATTAACTGTATGGTTGTGATGTTGATTGTTGAATGTAGACGTGTACATATTCTGTGGGGAAATCCCGATAATACACTTTTGAATATTAATGTGGATGAATTCAAGTGTATGGGGTTTTTAGTTTTTAGTATAACTTAGCCGAACAATGGGGAAATAACTGACATGTTTACAACAGTTAAGCCACGCCCATAGGAACACTGGGAATGGACATATCACAAGCGTGTGCGTGTGAGTGTCTGTGTGTTTGTCAGAAACGTTAATGAATTGTTTCCCCACCTAATCGACGCCGCGTTGCCTTCGAGGCTCTTCTCTTTCTGGCGTTTCCGGGGTAATTTTCCTCTGTTTCCAGGCAGATTTCCTTGACTGCCAGTCAAAGAGGAGAGTCGCTCCAAAGATTGTCTCTGAGCAACAAGATGATTTACTCGCTGTAAAAAAAAAGGGACGCCATATAAAATGGAATAATTTTCGTCACGTGCAGTTGAATATGGACAATAGAGATACAAAATGGACCGTTCGGTCCGTGTTGGACTAGAGGAGATAAGGATAACTGAGAAACTTTTATTTATGAACTCTTTAAAACTTTTCTTTGGTGAATGACTGTGTGTACATAAAAAATACCACAGCACTGATTCCTCGCAAAAAAACATCAGAGTGGCACCTCTCTGTACAGTCTTCTTCTGTTCGCTCTGTTACGCACGCTCTTACACCCCACCACCACCACCTGAATCGGTGACGTCGTATAGGTGGCAAGCTAATGAAAAAGTCAACAAATATGACATCACACAGAAGCACCTTTTGGATTGGCTAAACTGTGCGAAGCAGGAGGAGAGAGAAGGAGAACGGAGGCAGTTGCTGAGCAGCTTTGAAGGATGGTAGAGAGTTCTTTTTTTTATTTTATTTATTTATATCTCCTATTTCATGGCTGACACACAGCAGTGAAATGTCAGTTTATTCCCAAGATTATCAGTAAAATGGTGATAGTGATGTGACGAGAAAACATTTGTTTTTCACTGGGTGGAACTTTGTGATTATTTAACAAATGACAGCTTAATGTCCAGATTCGGTGATGAATAATACCGTTATAATTTGAAGATTATTAATGATCCTTAGTATGCTGATTATAATGAAGTCACGTGACTATAAGGTCAAGTTCTCTTCTCTTCTTTCTTATCTCACTCTTTGGCATTCAGGGTGGACACCAAAGTAAAATTTTCATTGTACAGGGAAACCTGCTTTCCTTACTGTACAGATGACAATAAACGCTTTGAATCTTTGAATCTCTTTGAATCTTGAATCTATAACGTTACAGGGCTGTAAACAGAGCCAAAAGTTAGCATCAGGACTTTCACTGGAATAATCCTAAAACAGTGATTGTAACGTCAGTACTGATGAACGACAACAACGACAACAAAGTAAATCGTAAACACTCCCAAAAAAGGGTCAAAGGCAAAGACAGCAACAGAATAAAGAATAAAAGTCTCCATATTTTTATACCGAGAGAGAAAAAGAGAAAATGGGGGAAAGCTCTGGAATTACAACTCAAATTAATTTTCGGTTTATAATCTAATTAGTAGATAATGCTTTGGGGAATGAATGTGCAGACATCTTGCCAGAAAACATGAGAAAATACAGGATCAGAATAAAGTACACTTTTATTACCAACCCTGCGTACGCTCTGCGTCATCACGTCAACTCGGAAACGGAAGTAAACACGTGGGGTTAAGAAGAGAGACCACGTTCCTCTGTAGGCTAAAAACTTTCCTGCTTTGCTCTCTTCTGTTTTTTTTTTACTGAACTCGGTGAGTTTAATTCCATTTAAAAATTCAAATCTGGGTGAATGCGGAGCAGTTCGGTTAAACCACAGTTTAATCTGGTGTTGTGGTATTTAGCTTGTTGTTTAGCCGGTTAGCTGTGGAGTTTAAATGTGAATCTAAGAGCTGTGGTTGTTGCTGAAAATAAGGAGATTTGCCAGGACGACATGACAGACATGATTTTTTGTTGTTGTTTGTTTTTCAGGAAATTTGTAGTCATGGCCGTCAGAGCGTCCTTTGAGAAAAACAACGAGATCGGCTGTTTCGCCAAACTGACCAACACCTACTGTTTGGTGGCGATAGGAGGATCTGAGAACTTCTACAGGTTTGTTAAACTAAACTCCAGTTCGTTTAAACTACACTGAACTACTGCGGTTGGAAATACGGGAGTAGAACGGATGCAGTTATTTTCTAATGCACTTTATTTAAATGCATCTAGTGGAGACAGAACCTTATACCTGGTCTTTGGTTTGGTTTAATGACGTCACAATAAGTCTGTCAACATAAAGTGAATAAACTAAAACTGGACTAAAAGTCCATGAACTAATATCTAATCCTAACATCTGACACTAAACTTAGTCTCAATCCCAAACTAAAGCAGCACTCACACTATAGCCGTTTGGGTCCAGACCTTTTTTTATTATTATTGTGACATAGCAAACAACGAAATGTGACCTCTGTTTTTAACCCATCACCAAAGTAAACAGTGGGCAGCTTTCAAACGCTTAGGGACGGTGCCTTGCTCAGAGCACCTCGGTGGGAATTTGACCCAAGTCTGCTTCCTTAACCACTAAGCCACCACATTCATTCTGGTGCAGGAAATCCAACTTTTCTGTAACGGTTTAATAATGAATAACATACGAATGTGAACGAAATTTAAAGGAAGAGTTGTTTTTATTGTTATTATTCATTAGTACGGTGTATTAAAGTCTGGTGTGGACAGAAGAAGACACAGACTGGTCTGTCTTGTTGGTGTTGTTTTTATCATAGCAGGGACATCGTCTGATGTTCACCGGCAGCTCAACTGAGGTCAAACGTTTGTGTCCTTGTGTCCACAGTGTGTTTGAAGGTGAGCTGTCTGTCTTGTTGGTGTTGTTTTTTTATCATAGCAGGGATCGTCTGATGTTCACCGGCAGCTGAACTGAGGTCAAACGTTTGTGTCTCTGTGTCCACAGTGTGTTTGAAGGTGAGCTGTCAGAAACCATCCCAGTGGTTCACGCCTCCATCGCAGGCTGTCGCATCATCGGGAGGATGTGTGTGGGTGAGTCATCACACACCCTCATGTGTTTACCTCTAAAGGCTGTGACTTAGCGATTGCATTTAAAAATATCTCTTCTGCAGAGTTTGGAGAGGGAACATTTTTTTTTTGTTATAGTCCCACGAGTTGTCACCCAAGGTAGTGGAGTTGTGATTGAACAGAGGTCATCGGAGGTCAACATGCTTGGCTGTGGAGTATCAGCTGTTGATGTTCAGAGATGAAAGTATTTAATCGAAGTGGTAATACAACAATGACAACGCTGATGTACTGAGGTTTTCAACGTCACATGTCCAACCTGGACCTCTGTATCTGATCATGAGATCATCGCTGACGTCATGTCATGAGAGAATAACACCATGTGCACAGGCTCCTAATGAATGTTCCAGCTTTCAGTCACATACCCGCTCCCTTCTGTTCTCCAGATGTCTGCTGTCAGTTGGTTCTAGTCAACAGAATTGGTCTGGACTGGTCCACTTTTTTGAGCGTTGTTTTTTTTTTTTGTCTGTCCTGTCACCAGGGAACCGTCATGGTCTTTTGGTTCCCAACAACACCACAGATCAGGAGCTGCAGCACATCAGGAACTGTCTGCCTGAGAGTGTGAAGCTACAGAGGGTGGAGGAGAGATTGTCGGCACTAGGAAACGTCATCGCCTGCAACGACTACGTAGCACTGGTCCATCCAGACCTGGACAGAGTGAGTAAACAAACAAACAAAAAAAATTAAAAAAAAAAAAAAGTAAGTAGCAGTAAACACAACCAAGGTCCTGAACACAACCGAGAGTCCAACTTGCCTCGTCTTCTGTTTCTGCAGGAAACAGAGGAAATCCTGGCAGACACGCTGCAGGTGGAGGTCTTCAGACAGACCATAGCCGAGCAGGTTCTGGTCGGTTCCTACTGTGCCTTCAGTAACCAGGGGGGACTGGTTCATCCAAAGACCTCCATAGAAGACCAGGACGAGCTGTCGTCTCTGCTGCAGGTCCCCCTGGTGGTGAGTCTGTGTTTCTGCATTTACCTCTTGACTGACACTCTAGTCAGTCTAGAACAGGGCTGTCAAACGCATTTTCACCGGGGGCCACATCAGCAATACAGTTCCCCTCGAAGGGTCCCCAACCCCTGGTTCGCGGACCATTGCAAGTCCATAGGTCATTTGGTACCGTGCCGCAGTGAGACACAGGGAAAACATATACTTAATTTTTACTAATTTACTTTATTCAAAGTGGAGCTTTTGGCCCAGAGGCAATGTCTCTGTCTGTCTATCTTGCAATAGGTCATGGGTAAAACGGGTGGTACTGGCCGGGGGCCACACGAAACGGTTTAGTGGGCCGCATTTGGCCCCTCGGGCCTTGAGTTTGACACATATGGTCTAGAACATGCACATTTCCCACACTGACTGTTCAGGTAATAATAGCACAGCTAACAGCTAAAGATTCGCTCGGTACAGTTAACGTGTGCTGCCACTGCAAACTTATCCTCACAGCATGAGGTAAAAACAAATAAAACGTTTGTCATCTGCTAAAAGCTAACATTTCCTGTTGAAGAAAAAAACGGGAAAAAAACGGGAAAAAATGTAATTAAACTGGGAAATTACATTCTGCTAACACGACCACTTCCTGACTGAGAAGAGCGAACTCGAGGCTTAGCATGATGCCAAACTGTCGACCTCTAACAAACGTGACGTCACTGAGCCACACTAAAGCTGACTTCCTATTCAGGCTGGCACCGTGAACCGGGGCAGTGAGGTCATCGCCGCGGGAATGGTGGTGAATGACTGGTGCGCGTTCTGCGGTCTGGACACCACAAGCACAGAGATGTCCGTCATCGAGAGTGTCTTCAGACTGGGCGATGCCGCACAGCCGTCGGCCATTGCAACCAGCATGAGGGACTCCCTGATTGACAGGTGTGTATATGTACATGCTGCGTGGCGCTGGTACTGTGTGAATTTCCTGGTTAGCGTTGACCTCATCAAGTGTGTAAAATGTGCGTTTCGTCAGCTGTTGTAGCCCCTCCATCTTCCGTGTTGTCAATAAACAACACGCATTTGAATTGATCAACATTTATTGTTGGTGAAACAGACGGGGGAAAAAAAAAAAACAATACAGTTCAGGTCCAGACCGGTCAACACATGGGTGGACAGTTCTTCACTAAGGTGAACATAGAGGAACTGTAGGCACGGTGTGTTCCAGGTGCCTGTTTAAAATTAGTTCCACTCAAAACACACAAGCAGGTTTCTTACGTCATATACTGTCTGCCGCGCGGCCGGCTGGTACTGTGTGAATTTCCTGGTTAGCGTTGACCTCATCAAGGGTGGTAAATGTGCGTTTCGTCCGCTGTTGTTGGTTTCTTACGTCATATACTGTCTGCCCTGCGTGGCGCTGGTACTGTGTGAATTTCCTGGTTAGCGTTGACCTCATCAAGTGTGTAAAATGTGCGTTTCGTCAGCTGTTGTAGCCCCTCCATCTTCTGTGTTGTCAATAAACAACACGCTTTTGAATTGATCAACATTTATTGTTGGTGAAACAGACGGGGGGGAAAAAAACCAATACAGTTCAGGCACAGACACGGTGTGTTCGAGGTGCCTGTTTAAAATTAGTTCCACTCTCACTGACCAAGACGTCGTCCAGTGATAACAGTGGTCGTTGAATCAACATCACATTTCCACGTTAATCTGGAGGTTATTTGATCAAATGTTATTTTACTATACAGTGAGAATCCAGTCAAGCGATATTGATGATGGACTCCTAACTGTTCAGTTCTTATTGATCACTAATCCTAATAGTGAGTGTTCAATGAACACCAGACAATGTGTTGTGTTAGTGGCGCTTGTATTTGAAAATGTAATATTTAAAATGTCACTTATTTATTATTCATCTTTGTCAGGTTTCATGTCACGTCTGACATAAAAAAAAAAAGTTTAAATATTTGCGACTTTCTCTTGTTTCCTCAAAGCATGGCCTAAACTGCTCCTCCTCCTCCTCCTGCTGCTCCTCCATCCGTGGTTCCTCAGCTCTGCCTCGCCCGATCTTTCCCCTGAATGTTCTGCTGGATGCCATGTCTCCATTCGCTCCATCAGTCGAGCTCCAGCTTTTCAAACCAAACAAGTCATCTTCTCAATCCTCTCAGTTACCCGAGAGCCCCAGTGGTTGAGGTATAGAATGGTCACATGACCTTTACCTGAGGCCCAGCTTTTAATAATCAATAAAAAAGAAGCGCTAAACCGGTGAACTTTTTTTTTTTTAACCCTCGCATACAAGGATTAAAGATGAATCAAAGTCGAAGCTGCCTGTTTCTTCAGCTGCTTCAAATGGAAGCCTTTACACGTTGAAGCAACAGCTCCCTCTTCAGACTGGGAGTGGCTAAATTTGTTTAACTTTTCGTCTCTGTAATTTAAAGTCAGTCTGTGTAAAAAAAAAAAACTGAAGATGTGATTTAAGAAACTGGACTTGATCCAACAGTCAAACACTCACACACAGTATTGTGACTATGATGGACCTGAATGACTCAGACTGTACAATAAAAATCATTCTCCTTACGTTTGTTCTTGTTCAAAGTCTGTGCAAAAGTCTTAGGTAGGAGCATATATCCATCCATCTCTCTATCAATCAAACAAAGTCTACACATTTATTTGTAATTTTAGCTCCCCTACATCCCCCCCCCCCCCCCCCCTCTCCACACTCATCACTGCTCAAGCACAAACANNAAAGACAACAGTCGGTGTTTTTTTTAACGTCACTATCATTTATTGGCAAATGCTTTGATTCAGTTCAGAGCAACAAGTCTTTGTACAGCCTACGTTTATACAGTGGCAGGATGGGGGCGCTAGAGCAAACACTGACAACAGCTGCAGCTCATGTCTGAAACTTTAAACACACACACACACATATCATCTAAGATGTCAAGTTTTTGGTATGGGGAAACAAGAGTTGTTTTTTTTTGTCTAAATGAAAAGACATTTTAAGGTAAAATAAGAATAAAATAAATGTTTCGGGACATGCAGTGTTTGTCTGTAGTGAATCTCAGCCTACAAGCGGTTACTGTAAAACAGTTCTTTTTTTCTTTCTTTTTTTTTTTTTTACAGAGTCAGGAAAATGTCCATAAACCAAACTCTTTGTTTTTATTGACGTGCAAAAGACGCTTAGTGTTTCTTCGGATGTTTCTACTGCAGCTCGACTCACAGCCACGGCCACAACTGACAGGTGACAGAACCGACCATTCGTACTGTGTCGGTACAGACGGCATTGTGCGTACTGACTCAGTCTGAACTCGATACAGAGACAGAGCTGTGAAGCAGAGATTCCTGCTCAGCCGTACGCCCCTCCTTCCCCTTCCAGGGGGGCAGGGCTTCTTATTGCACATGTCATTTAAAAAGTGTCTTTAATCACTGTTCTGTCTAATCGTCGGTTATCCTGCGACTGTGAGCGGATCCACGAGCTGAGCTACTGACTGAACAGAAACAACTGACATCACTACAGCCAACTTTTTCCACACTATGGCTAAAACATGAGATGGTGTACATCAGGAAAAAGTCAAACTCTGCAGGTGATGATGTGCAGCGTTTGACTTTTGGATGGTCAGAGAGAGAGAGAGAAACAAACAGATGCCGCACAAACATCAATCCACCACCGGAGGGCGACACTGAACATGTACAGCTTTTTAAGAAAGTGGTTTGATTAGTAAGAGTCAAACACACGAGGTTGGTGGTGAAGCCTCTAAATTAATTTTCCTTCTTTTTTTTTTTTTTTTTTTTTTTTTCCTCATCAGAAGCAGTCGTGAAGTCAATCGCTCACAGTTGCCCCCTGGAGTCTGAAGCTTAGTGTTGTATTTACTGACCACATTATACAAAGGTGCAGAATAAAGGGTGGAGTTTGGGGGGGGGGGGATCAGACGTGTGTCGCACGGACTCTCACCTGACTGCGGGTGGAGCTACAATTCTTTGTTCCCCTGACCTCCTTCACCTCCTTCCCCACCTCCACCCGTCCCCTCCTCCCTAGCAGCCGAAAGTCTCCTGGGAGGCGTAGACCATGTAGAGGAAGCCGTCCTCGTCTCGTTCCTGCTCGTAGATCTCAGAGATGGGCGTGGACACTGACACCATACTATGCTGGTTGACCAGCAGGAAGAAGGCCTGGGTGGGGTTCAGCTGCAGCCGACGTCTGTGGGGGGGGGGGCGGAGAACAGAGATCAGAGATGATACAGAGCGTGTGAGTGGATCGGAGTGCTCAGTAGAACGAGTTTTCGGGGCGAGTTTGGTACGTATGTTTTGAACCGATGTTCTGAGTGGAACCACCTGAGAACTGTGCGATGGTGACGCTGACACAGTCAGGTCATGGAGAGTTGTTTCTGTGTGTGTATGTGTATGTGTGTGTCTCAGAGGACTGACCTGATGATCTTGACCAGCTCACTCATATTAACATGGTCGGGAACCAGGAACTTGGTCTTGTCCAGAACAGGAAGCTGCTTCTCTCCCTTGTATCGTTCAATGATGACCTGCAGCAGAAAACAGACCTCAGATCAGATCAGAGGCTGAAGGGCCGCCGTGGTTACTAACAGCTCATACAGTATGTTGGTTCAGTTTCCTGTTTTTTGATAAGAGGTAGAGAGGAAGGAAGGAAGAAGGAATTGATGATAATGGTGGTGGTGGTGGTTCACCAGGCTGACTGGGGAAGTGTGCGTGTGTGTGTGTGTGGTTCTTACAGGGATCTTGTTTGGGTGCTGCTCCCGGATCTGCTCAACCTCTTTGCATCGATCAGCTGTCATGAAAAAAAAAACAACAACCACAGACATCAAACATGTATCTACTCCTTTAAGACAACAGACCTGACCAGATTTGAACAGATACATTTTTGATTGTCTTCTCCAATCATGCAGCAGTCCTTGATCTGGGGAGCTGTCCTTAATCTGAGACCTGTCTCTAGTCTGAGATCTGCCTGTAGTCTAAGACCTGTCCTTAGTCTGAGAACTGTCTGTAGTCTGAGACCTGTCCCTGGTCTGAGACCTGTACCTAGACTGAAACCTGTCCTTGGTCTGAGACTAGTGGGGCCTCAGACATTAGGTTATAAGACAAGACAGTCTGTCCGTCCGTGATTCTTGGGGCTGTTCTAACCACTGGGTTTCCTCCCTCTACAGGAAGAGGGCTGTGGTCTGGCATCAAATGACCACATAAATCAGTGAGCACGTGCAGCAGATACTGTGTCAGCATGACTTGTTCTGTCAGAGATGTGAACTGATCTGCCGACATGTTCGGCTGTGAAACAAGACCAGGGTTTGTTTGTTTTTTTTTGTTTTTTTTAGCTTTTAACTAATGAAGCTATTGTGACCCAGATGAAAGAAGAAACATACAAAATGCTCTGTAATGTTTCAGCAACAAAAAAATTAATATGTAATTACATGTCAGTAATCTTCAAGAATAACTCTCTAAACTATAAAGGATAAAAAATTGTAAATACACTAAACTCAGTCAAATGTCCAGTATAGTATGTCAAAATCTGTGATATCTCACTTCAGAGAATGTGGACAATTCTAAAAAAACGACACAACATGGTGTAAGGTTTAACAAAAGTTGACGATCCACTTAATAAATATTGGCTCTAACTCTGATTCACATATTCAACATTGTGATGCTGAATATTATTATTATTATTATAAATTTGATCGTTATTCTACTTGCGCAGTGTCAGCTCCTCGATCTCACCTACTACATAAGTTTCTTATTATATGGGTCCATATAATAGGTATTGTTTTTCGGGCCGATGTTACTGATGTGAGTTTTTTTTTTTTTTTTTATAACCACGCCCTTTAACATCTCGTCATTATCTTTTGGACACAGGCCTGCGTTTGGCACTAATAAATGCTTTCCTATCTGCCTGACTACTGTTGCAGTGTTGTTTTCCTGGAGCTGACATGGTTAAAACACTGTCTCTTTTACTTGTTTAATCGACATTGAACTAAAGTGTTTTAAAAAATACTGACTTTCTGATCATTATCGTCGTGTTTACTGTGGAATACATTACTGCAAAACGTATTTCTAACTGCTGACACATTCGCGCACACTATTAGCTCGGCGATAAACATGTAAACACCTTTAGAGTCAGGCTATGCTAAGGCTAAGCTAAAGGCTAACAGGCCTGTTATCCCAGCTGCTGCCCCGCTCATATGTATCTACAGGCGGACACAGAAGCGGGGAAGATCCCGGCAAGTTCTATGTTCTTACCGAACGTCCTCCTCTGTTTGAAGGGTCTGTCTGACGGCATCTCTGTGGCTGTAATGACGCAGTAATAGGCCGGTGAAAGTTCTGCTGTCAGCGGTTGTTTACGCGGAGCTGCTGCAGCTGCTTCTTTTCTTCTTCTTCTTCTTCTTCTGCTGTTGCGTGTATGAAGATTAAATAAAATACCGATCCGCACAAACAAAGGCAGTCAACCCGAAGCGCTGACGTCACCCACAGCTCTTAAAGGGACCGTGTTGTTTTTTTTAAAAGTTGATTTAAGGAGAGTTTGTTGTTCGAATTTAGATTTTTATTTTTTCCTCCACACTGTCGCTTGTTCTTGTGTTTTTGCCTTGTTTCTCCTGCCTCTTGTTTGGTTAGCAGAGCTGTCTGCGTTTCTGTCTGTAATGTTGCATCACCAAGACATCTATGTCTTTGTAAGGCGTGAATCTTCTGTTCCTTCAAAGGATCAAAGGTTTGGTTTTGATTGCCTTAATTAGAACGTGATATTTCTGTGGACGCCTAGTAAAATGTCGGACCCTGTGGCGTGTTTGCATAGTCTGATCCTGGGATTGTAGTTCTATTGTATTTGTCTTTGGTAATGTAATGGCATCACCGACAGATGGTACAATCATACCTCAGTCTAAGAGGAAACAGTGACACATTCTAATCAGACCCTAGTAATATAGTACAGTACAGTGTAGTATAGTACATAGACTTATATAGTATATAACTTATTAATAATTGGCTATGGTTGGCTTCTCCAGGCTAGCTTAGATTTGTTACAGGCTCTATAACTCTAGGCTTTAGCTATTGTTGGCTATTTTTGTTATTTGGGATACATTTTTTCTCACTTCTTGGATTACCATGTAACTCGTGTTGTCTTTGGAACACTTAAATCAGTTGCTATATTGCCATTTAGCCATTATCTTTAAATTTGGCTTTCTCTAGATGTTTTCATTAATATTTTGAGTTTTATTAATTTCATCATTTTAGCTGCTTATATTTAATAGTCTCTGGGCTTTTCTCTTTTTGCCATTTTGTTTGAATTTTTATTGGCATTGATATTTTTATCAATGCCAAATAAACAATTTTGTACTGATCAAATATATATATAAGTGATTGTTTTCTGTTGTGAAGCTCAAAATTATCAGTATAAAATGATAAAAATATTAAACAACTGTCACACACAACAGAAGACGTCGACCAAAGACCAACTTATCCATGTTTTTATTTGAACAATCTCAGAAAGAGCGTGTGTCGTGTCAATTGCTGCTCAACCAATAAAACATTTCAACAATCTCCTGCCAACATAACACAACAATAAATAATCAAGAGACTTCATCGGGAACGAGCAAAGGGAACATTCTGCGTCAGCGGTTTTTTCTTTGCAGGCTTTTCTTTTTCTATATTGTTCTTTAAACATCAGAGCTCCTCCGAATCAATCGGATGGATTCTGAATGACGATCAAGAAATAGTCCTTATCTGCACAGAACACAAAATGTTCACCACCCTTTATTGCTTCCATCAAACAACGGGCTGTAACAACAACATCACACCAGCTGGGGTCCGTTTCTTGAAGCAGGCTCATAAAACTCTGAAATAAAATCTCAGCGCTGGCTATCTTAAGCCGTAGAGGTCCAACTCTAACCTCCGGTTTCACAAAAGCTGATTGCAGTTAGCTCAGGTTAGCCCCTAAGTTGAGTTAAGTCTGAGTAGCACTCGTACCCGACTAGATATAAAGGCTCCCTCAATTGAGTGCAGATAACACAAACCATGTCATCAACTTGGCAGCTGGTGGACATGTTGTGGGGGATATATTGCGAAGATAAATGGAAACACTCTAACAAAAAACTTTCGAGGAGTGCTAAAATATCTACTCATGGTCTCAGGATTCTCTCCTAGCATCAATTTCTTCTAAGCAACTGAGCTGTGATGTCCACAGGCTGCTCAACAAACGGCCACGCCATCCATATGATTACGGACTGACTGCTTAACTCAGACTTAACGACCTTAAACCTGCTGCACAGAGTATGTGGCCATAGCAACCAACTCAGCATCTTGGTCTAGCCGGCTTGTTGAAAAGGGAAAAGCCAGAGTTCCCTCTATTACTTTCTTATAATATTATGCTTCAAGAAACGGACCCCAGGACTTTAACCAGGTTAGAAAACGTGCTTCTCACCTGGAGCAATCATGATCTCGTTCTTCTTGGAGCGGACTCGCAGGAAGGTGAGGTCGTTCTGGGGGTCGATGTCTCGCACTGTGCTCCTGGCCTTCATCACCAGCTGGTGGATCAGTCCGGCGTATTGCACTGTGCTGGAGTTGTCGAGAGTTGTTTTGATGGGGATTCCTGTGCCAAAAATGAAGCAGTGTGTTCATTTATTACATTCTGAACAAAGCATATAAAATACCAACACATATGAAACAATAATAATTTTACTACATTTTACGAACATCACCACCGTCACAAAGCATCTAATATTCCTTGTTCCAAGACTAGTTGTCATAACTGGTAACAACACATCAGCTGTGGGCTTTACTGATTACTGTAATTAATGGAATTGTTTCATCTCTGTGTAACCTTCAACAACAGAGCGTGTCTTACCCTCTGAGTTGACAATGATGACCCCCTGAACACCCTTCTGACTCTGGATCCTCTTTAGAGTTTCCTCCACTTCAGCCTGAAATCAAAGTTAGCATTAACATCCATGAACTTTAATTAAGACGAACAGCAGTCCAGTTCTTTCAGTGGATTCTTGTGGGGGGAATACTCATGATTCTACCCCTGCTTCCCGGTACTGCTGCAAAACACCTGAGTTCCTTACAAAGTGAAAAATTATCAAAACACGTGATCGTTTTAACACTGTCAATATTTAATATATATAGTGTTATGGTAATCAGTATTCAGCAACTTCTACACGTCCAGGGCACATGCATTCATCAAATACAAACTTCACTCTAATCACGTTTTACTTGAGAACGTTTAAGTGCTTTCCAACAAAACATGAAACTGGATTTACTTATTTAAATTTTGTAATTTTAAATTACAAACAAACACGCAGACGTTTTTACTATAAAGCTGGTGTTTCCGAGAAAACATCTGAGGCTGGAAAAAACTGCGAACCAAGAAGTTAGAAGTGACGGTCTGAAAAAAAAACAGACGTCTTGTTATACACAGAGCTATGACAACGCCCGGCTAACTGTGAAGCTAACTTTTTGTAGTACTTTCTTTGACATACGCGTTATAAAGCATCTATTTCGTGACACACACAGCTGAAACAATCCCTTTTTAATTCAAGAGTGTTGCTTGAGTTTTTAATCCTACCATTTTGTTTGCGTGAAGAAAAAGATTGGCCTTGGAAAAACGGCAGAAAGCTGCGTGCTAACTGCTAATAATTTTGTGTTGTTGCTGGGAGAATTGAAGTCAACTTCCGGGTCAGCGCTGCCTTCACAGTCAAAGACACAACGTTGGGCATTTGCAATAAATCGATTTAGTACCTTTTTAAAAACCAAACTATGCATATCGGCAGTAGATTTTCATTTTCCTACGTTTTTCTCCCAATTGAGTTATAAGATAATTATTTTTTTCTTTGGCAAAAAAAGATGGTCTGTATGATATATATAATATTCTTTCAAATGAAAGTGAAGTGAACGTGAATTATTTGTCATCACCAATGTGAGCAGGGGCCAGCGTTTAGCACCCGGGAGCAAAATAGTGAGAATAGAAAATAAAATAATAAAATAACAAGCAATAAAAGCAATAAAATAACATGATATTAAATAACATTAATTTATTTAAATGTATTTAAACACTGAATAAAAACATTATACATTTTTTTTAGAAAAATCATTTTAGATAAACCATTATTATAATTATTATTATTACTATTAGACTTTAGACAAGCCACACTGTGAAATACTGAAATTATTATTTATTTATTTTTGGTCTCTGAGATCAAATGATTCTTATTGATTTTTATCTTAACTGCTTCTTTTCATGTTACTTCTGTGGAAACCAGAAATGGCTTTCATGTTAGAATGAGTTCCAGACCTCACTACTGTCTGCTGAAACCTGACCTCTTCATGTTACTTCTGTGGAAACCAGAAGAGTTTAGAATGAGTTCCAGACCTCACTGCTGTCTGCTGAAACCTGACCTTTCAACTCATTTATTTAAATGGCACACTGAATAAAAACATTATAAATTTCTTTTAGGAAAATCATTTTAGATAAACCATTATTATAATTATTATTATTACTATTAGACTTTAGAGAAGCAACACTGTGAAATACTGAAATTATTATTTATTTATTTTTGGTCTCTGAGATCAAATGATTCTTATTGATTTTTATCTTAACTGCTTCTCTTCATGTTACTTCTGTGGAAACCAGAAATGGCTTTCATGTTAGAATGAGTTCCAGACCTCACTACTGTCTGCTGAAACCTGACCTTTCAACTTAGCTGCTATTCTTTGGTCACAGTTCATCTCTGACCCTTGTCTCCTTCTATTCCACACTGACTCCACTCTTTTCTTCAACTCAGTGGACGGTTCACCTGAGGTATTCAAACACATCCATCTTTATAACTCTCAGCCCCATTTTTTTACTTAACCTGGAGTGTGTAAAACCTGTGCCAAAACAATTATTTGGATCATGAAAACTCCTACACTCTGTATCTACAGTACAAACACAACACAATACAGAACAAAACATATATTACCAACAAAGTAAAAAAAGCACAGTTCCAGTAAGAACAACAGGAGAATTAAAATGTTACTTTTTGGTTGCTTAATTTATTACTTCGTGTTTAATTTGTTTATTTTTAGAGTTTAAAGCAAACATAACAGACATGTAACCCTTGTCCTGTGTTTTATGAGCCAGTGAAGTCTGAATGACGCGGCTGACTCTCATTGGTCCAGCTGTGCTCGTACCGGAAAGAAACTCAGATGTGGGCGGGGCGTAGGAGGTCTGTGTGAGTGAGTGAGTGTGAGTGCAGGAGAAGCCGGAGTTCAGGTGTTTTACTCTGTGCCTCTGACAAAAATGGAAACTCTGAACAAACTGAAACAGTTTGATGCCTATCCCAAAACTCTGGAGGATTTCCGGGTGAAGACTTGGGGGGGAGCGACCGGTGAGAGACACATGAGCACGTACACGCACGTACACATAGGCTTTTAGCCACTCAGGCTAACACTGAGCTAAGTGATTCATTTTAAAGAATGTTGACTGTTATCCAGGTGCCAAGCTGTTTTCACATGCACTAATAATGCCACGGTGTAATTAATTATTTTAACTACAAAAATATTCCATCTTAGTTTATGCGTGAAGAAAAGGGGCTCGGGCTTTCTCAGAATCACCTGGAATGTAGCATTATTTCACACACACACCATCTTATTTTTCACTATCAACCCAAAGGAGCAACTAAGACTAGTTTACTGTTTACATATTTCTGTTTGACAATAATATTCACATAGTCGTGTCGTAGAAGAAATAATCAGTGTCAAAACATTAACAACATTAACATTGGTGATTTAACAAAAGTTTGACAATTTTGAATCTCCACCAAAATTCACATATTAAATCAGTGGAAAATAAATATAGCCGTTCTAATTATTATGTATTATTTGTTATTGTTTTTTTAAAAAAAAACACAGTCATTTACCAACTTAGTATCCTATGTGCATCATCATTTAAACTATGTTATCACCAGAGTTACACACGTGTAACTGTTCTGAAAAACCACTTGACGACATTCCCTTCTCAAACACAAGCTACTGAACCAGTTAATCACCTCATTGTTAGTAGACTACCCGTTTGCCCCCGAAGGTATTGACTTCAGAGCAGCTAAAAATGTGGAGCCTTGGGTCTGGAACTTCTCTGCCCCGTTCAGAGATCAGCGTTTCTTCTGTCATCTGGACCGGTGGTTCTCAGATGATGGAGCCCTAGGACCTAGGTTTACCTCAGTCTGTCACTCACATCCTGAGCTTAGACTTGTGATTATTCAGACATATTCTAATGTATACAGAATACAAGTGTAGTGAAAAGACGAGAGAGGGCTTTTGGTGACACAGTATGTAGTGTAGTGAAAAGACGAGAGGGCTTTTGGTGACACAGTATGTATATATTTCAGTAAGTTCTTGTCCCACGACTCTCCAATCCAATCTGTGTACAAATTTTACACCAGGAGCCACTATTTGTGAAACACCGACTAAGACCTGCAGAGTCTTTTGTTTTCAAGCCCGACTCATACACAGTAATTATTAAGTGCATGTTGAGTTCAAGTCCTTATGGCTTTCAGTCCTGCTGATCCACAGCTGTCTCCAGGGTTCAGCTTGTGTTACTGGGTTGAAAGCACTGACTATCTCTATTAACTTTTGTGTGTTTGTGTGTGCAGTGACCATCATCAGTGGCATCATCATGTTGATCCTGTTTGTGTCTGAGTTGCAGTACTACCTCACCAAAGAGGTGAGTTCCACCTGCACCACCTATAGATACCCCCCCCCTCCACCCCAGGGTTCCATCATGGAGGATGGGGTCTCTACATCCAGTCACTCTTCCCCTTAGTCTTATTAGTAGAAGTTACTTTGTTTACTACACATACACGCACACACACAAATAGATATGTATTTCTGTATCTGTACACAATATATGTGGAGTTACCCCAGTGTGTACACAATATATGTGGAGTTACCCCAGTCTGACCTCCTGCTGTGTTGTCAGGTGTTTCCTGTCAGACTGGTCTGATATGTGTGTGTGAACACACACTCAGTCTAAATGACCTAAGGTCCTGAACCTTCCATATTCTGTACATGACACTGATGTCACAAGGTTGGTTTAGACTTAAACATGTCTGACAACACTTACCACTGGAACTGGTACCAGATAAATGAACTAGTACCAGCATGCATTAACTGTTACCTGAACAAAGGTAACTGGTACCTTCTCCTAACTAAGTGCAGCCCGGTGCGCCTGTGTGTTATTTTATAATAATAATATAAACTGTTCATATTGGCAATAGCATGACAAACCTTTCTGATTGGTCACAGAACTCAGTATTTATTTTTGAGTTCTAAGAGTCAGTAGACTCCAGACGGAACTGGTTTTTCAGGCTAACTCTCGGATGCAGACGTTACAGTCGTGCAGGTGTTCCTCCTGCTTTACCCTCTGCCGTGTTCTAACTCCGTTGACGTGTGTGTGTGTGTCCCACAGGTCCACCTTGAACTCTACGTGGACACGTCTCGAGGGGACAAACTCAAAATCAACATCGACATCATTTTCCCTCACATGCCCTGTGCCTGTCAGTAGTTCTCCTCACATCATGGTGACAAGCTACCACTTCATCCAGACTAACTAGTCTCATCCTCTCCCTTCTCCCCGTCCTCCCTCTCCTTCTCCTTGTCCTTCTGTCCAAGATCTCAGCATTGATGCCATGGATGTGGCGGGTGAGCAGCAGTTAGACGTAGAACACAATCTGTTCAAACAGCGACTGGACAAGGACCTGAAGCCTGTGTCTGAGGAGGCAGAGAAACATGGTAACGATTTGAGCCAGCAGTACTACAGCAGTACTGACCCTGGTACAGACAGACCACTGAGCAGAGTTTACTGTGGACACAGTAAACTTATTTTAGTTTTCACACATATTTTACTGTTGACACAGTGTTAGTGTAGACACCGTGACAATTTTTTTAATAATTTTTTTTGTTTGTTTTTTTATGTTTTGCTGATCACAGAAATGACAAAAACCTGTGTGTTTTTTTTTTTTTCAGAAATGGTCAACGTTGAAGAAACTGAAGTGTTTGACCCTAGTTCACTGGACCCTAACAGATGCGAGAGCTGCTATGGAGCAGAGACTGAGGACCTGCAGTAAGACACAGACGCACAGGCACATACACATACATACAGATTCAGTGTGTCACACGGATACACACAGACAAAGTTGCTGATTGGTTCCCTTGTGTGCAGGTGCTGTAACACCTGTGATGATGTGAGAGAGGCGTACAGGCGGCGGGGCTGGGCCTTCAAAAGTGCCGAGACCATCGAGCAGTGTAAGAGAGAAGGGTTTGTCCAGAAGATGCAGGAGCAGAAGAACGAGGGCTGTCAGGTGTACGGCTTCTTGGAGGTCAACAAGGTCAGAGGTGACAAGAGTCCCGGCAGCTGTTGTGTGGAGCAGGATCAGCTGAGCTCAGCTTGAGAGCCGTGTGATTTCAAGAAGCCATTTAAATGAGCAGTGCTTCCAGTTCCACAGATCAGCAGGGATAAGGAGCTTCCGGTTCCGCTCTCGATTGGTCTGCTTCGTCTGTACTCATTTTCTCTTTTTTTTCCCCCCTCCAATCATAGGTGGCAGGAAACTTCCACTTTGCCCCAGGAAAGAGTTTCCAGCAATCCCACGTCCATGGTAAGACCAGCCTCCCACCTGTAGATGTCAGTGTTTGTAACAGTCACAGCTTTTTTTTTCCCTGAGTGCAGAGGAAGTGACCACTCGTGTTCATGCTGTTGTTTCACATTGTCTCTCTGCTGGTTGTTGTGTTCATCAGCAGCAGCTGTGGTTTGAAGTGAAACAATCCTCAGACAACAGTGTAAACACTGACAGATGAACAGGCACTTCTTGTTTTGGCTGCAGCCTATCCCTCCTCCTCCTCCTCATCATCATCACTTTACCTTCGTACAAACATACAACGTTTCTGTCGAAGCACCACCCGTGCACGCACACTCAAATGCACTGTGACATCACGTTATCTGGTCTCTAACGTGCGTCATGTGACTCTTCTCTCTTCTTTCTGCAGTTCACGCTGTGGAAAGTAAGTCTGTCTTTTCTCTGCAGATGAGTCTAAGTATTTGAAGGTCAAATGTTTCTAATGAGCTGACAGATGGAATGGAAGGTCAGGGTCAAAGGTCAGGGTCAAGGTCAGAGTCACGGTGTGAGTCACGGTCAGGGTCTGAGTCTGAATCTAAGTCGACGTCAGGGTCAGAGTCAGGGTGCAGTTTTGCATGTATGGATCTGAACATCACCTGCTTTTTGATGTAAAACACTATATTTTTGTGCTTTTACAGTAGTTCCTGTCACTGTTTGTTAGCTTGTAATGAAGTAATTCTAATATTATCTCTGATAATATTAACGCTAAGTCAATGCTAGAATAGACTGGCAAAGAAGAAAAAGTAAAGTTTGAGTGTGAACAATAAGAATGAATAATGACTTCTGTGATTGGGTGTTTCTCTGTGGTCAACGGTCTAAATAACTGATGTCTGATGTCTCTCTTCACAGTCCATGATCTGCAGAGTTTTGGTTTAGACAACGTAAGTGACAAACTCTCTCTCTCTCTCTCTCTCACCCTACCTCCCTCACACACACAATAACATGTATTGTGATGGGAAAACTACTGTTTTTAAAGGTCTTTGGTGCAAATACTTCCAAAGTTTACTGTCTATTTTAGCTAATGCTAATGCTAGTTGTATGGAGATAAGTTTTGTTCTCGGTTGCAGATATTCATGCAGCTGTTTATGCACATACTTGTCTTTAGCTTTTCACTGGACAAAAATATTAAACATGTGTCATAACCTGACAGGAGGTCTGTGTTTGGACAGACGAGGTCTTGTTCTTGTGGTGTTAATTATATGTAATGTTGTTTTTTTTTAGAACATATAACCAATGTATACTCACATCTACACTCTGTTGACTCCTCTGTGTGTGTGTGTGTGTGTCTATGGTCCCTCAGATAAACATGACCCACCTGATAAAACACCTGTCCTTTGGTAAAGATTACCCTGGCATCGTTAACCCTCTGGATGGCACTGATGTCAACGCTCCTCAAGGTCAGAGGTCACTGGGGGTTTTACTGTATTGTGCTCAGTATGAAGAACACAGCATGGACAATCTACTAGAAGTTCAGGAGTATATTGTGTTTCTTGCTTTGTTGTCAGTGTTTGGAAAAGTATCTAAATTATATAACTGGTTCTTTCTTCGTTGTTTGGAAAAGTATCTAAATTATATAAGAACAAAGGGGCAAACAGACCAAACAACTATAGTATAACAAAACACAGTTGCTCAACAAGTGTTTATTTTGTACTGACACACAGTGACCACTGAGGCAATGATTAACATCAGACCAGATTACAGTGACTGATGGCTAGGTCCGGACAGGAACCACTGGCTCTCCCACAATAAACCTCAGAGAAAACCAGTAATTTTCTCTCTCAGTGACTCAACAGTTGCTGCCTCCATCATCATCATCATCATCTGAGCTTTGCCTTATTCTGTCATGTCACTGTTTGAAAACCTTTGTTCAGATTAACCTCAGTGACACAATCAACAGTAAACTGAAGAAGGATTATACAACATTCCCCCCACATACAAAGGCGGATTCTGTCTGCAACTTCAAGATCCATTGAGAAATCAGAATTTTATTGACAGACAAAGTGGAAATTTGTTAGCATAACATAGACCGAGCCTGGAACTGCTGTTGTTGTTGTTGTTTTTTTGGTATAAAAAAAAAAGTCCAATAGTCGTGGAGAAGCTGACAACTTCTCAGCAGCGAATGCCCATTCCAATTGCCATGAAAGTTCCAAACGTTCCACCGCTCTGCATCATGGTCTTTCCCACTCCTCCCATTAGTTCCCTGCCTCGCATTCCGATCCTGTAGAGAATAAACAGTGCCAGGGTCAGGTTATAAACCGATCTCCATATTCACTTTACTGCCACAGTATTTACTCCTGTCAGGTTGAAACAACTTTTTTTTTACGTCATATAAAATAAAAGCGTGTGAAGTGTAAATTTATACCGGAGACAGGAGAATGTTCCAAACATGGCTCCAGCAGCCATTCCAACAGCAAAGCCCATCATGAAGCCCATCTTGACCCGGTCAAAACATCTGGGCTGTGTCTGGCCGTATGGACCAACAGCCACAGGCATCCTGGGGTGGTGGTAGTAGGTGGAAAGAAGTTAGAAGAGGTGGAGAATTCAGTCTGTTACACAAGAGATATTTACAAATACAATAGAAAGTGTTTTTATTTCGGCATTTATCATTTATGTATGGACACTGGATGCTATAACAGAAGTCACAGGAGCTGCTGCTCCACTCCTGCCTCCTGTGGTCAGTTTGTGTCACTGAGGTAAATCTGAACAGAGGATCTCAAAATGTTTGGTCAGAAATTAAACGAGTTCAAATTTGAAACGTTTGAACTTGGACACAGCAGTAGATCAACAACTATCTGTGCGAGATATGATTTTCTCTATGGACTTTGGTGTGCCCCATTGTTATATTACTACATTTAAAATAATTTAGCAACGTATTTAAACTGCCTTTCATTCAACAACATTTAATATTTTTTTTAATCATTAAAACCGATACCTTTCCTGTGCTGTAAAATCGATGGTTAGGTTCGTTAGCGTGCTAACAGGCTAACGTCACCTTTGGCCTTGACAGATGAAAGACACTAGTTTCCGGTCACGAGCACCTTTCGTTTGTCTCGAATCAGCGGTAAACCAAATCTTACCTTCACTTTCTAACTTTATTTCGTTTACTCTTCGGGTCCAAAGCTGTACGTCGTTCTCTTAGCGCAGCTGCGTTGAAATGTACTGCTGCGGCAGAAACTCCATTACCGGAAACAGGAAGTAGACAATGACTAACGAAGAGCCAATAAAACGACGAAGTAAAACTACTCGTAGAAGTACACAGCGGCACCGTGTGGCTTTATTTTTTGCAACAACGAGGAGCGTTGTTTATTTTTTTGTATTTCGTATTTAAATAAAACAGCGAGAACAAGTTAAATCACTTAATAGTTTAGATTCTCATACGTTTGTAAAGAGAGTGGTGAGAGAACGATGCTAGACAGACATCACTAAACATTAGTTGAGCCACATTAAATCGAGCAGCACACAATGTTTAGATAGGACCAGTATATAAAAAAGAGAATGCATTACTGATACAGCAATTCGGGTAAATTATAAGACACTACTAGAGTACACTAAAGTAGTACTACAACGGTATATTTTCCCTTTTGTTATAATAGCTATAAACCTGTTATTTTTTTCCTCCACAGCCTCAATGATGTATCAGTATTTTGTGAAAATTGTTCCAACAATCTACGTAAAAACTGATGGCGAGGTAAGTTTAACAACAATATTAATATTATAATCCTGTTCAGTCAAAGTTGTATTTTTTAGTGTTTTATTCCTCAGACCTTTAGTGAGGAGGAAAGTCTTTTGATAGTCCGTCTGATATTTCTCTTCCACAGGTGTTGAAAACCAACCAGTTCTCTGTGACCAGACATGAGAAGGTAGCCAACGGTCTGATCGGTGACCAGGGTTTACCAGGAGTCTTTGTTCTATATGAACTGTCACCGATGATGGTCAAGTTCACAGAGAAACACAGGTTGGTCCTCACACCTTCAGTCACCGTGGCCAATGCCCTAATCTGTCTGTAGGAGGTGCTGCTGAGCTGAAGCTCTGTTTTGACTAAACTCTCTCTCTCCCTCTCTCCCTCCCTCAGTTTTGACTAAACTCTCTCTCTGCCTCCCTCTGCAGGTCGTTCACCCACTTTCTCACGGGTGTGTGTGCCATCGTTGGGGGAGTATTCACAGGTGAGTCTCTCCAGGTGAGTCTCGCACTAGCTCGAGGATCATGACCTCTAACCCCCCTGTGTGCTCTGTGTGCAGTGGCCGGTCTCATCGACTCTCTCATCTACCACTCTGCTCGGGCCATTCAGAAGAAAATAGAGCTGGGAAAGGCCTCCTAACAGCGCCACCGGCTGGGCTCCATGGTGCAACACAGACAGGACACGGACACAGAGACAAAAACTGGCCAAAAGAGGAGAAGGAGAAGTTTGTGAAGAGAAGAAGCCGATGCTTCGCTTCCTCAGCTTCACTTCTCCTCTTTCTCCTCAGATGAAAACACTGGAGAGGACGACTGTTGTCCTCTGACTGCGTCAGACAGACGTGACTGTGGTCTGGGAGCTGGACCAGACGGCTGTTTCTAAATGTTCTGTTAGTGGAGACTGCTCCTCTTTCGTGTCTTTGTCACTTCTTTCTCACTGAAGAGGTGCAGTTCTTGCACCTGGAGATAAACAAAAGATGGAGGTGAACACTTGGGTCCCCACACTCCAGAACACCAGGATTCCTGTTCTCCAAACATAGCTGAGAGTGGGAACACTGGGAATGCTAGGAATCAGCTGATGAAATTCTGGGCCGTCTTTAAAAATGTTTAATTAATTGTTAACAGTGAAGTTTGTTTAGTCACAGGCTCCACTGCTGCCTCATCACTCTGTTCAAATCATGTTGAATTTTTTTTATTTTTTTTATTTCCTGATAGTGACACAAACCAACCACAGGAGGCAGCAGTGGACCAGCAGTTGCTGTGTCTCTTTGAGTTAAAAATCACAGTTTTGTCATCTTGGATTATGTAACATAAATCTCCCTGGTGTAAGCCCACCGTCACTCAATGGCTGATGGGATTCCGTCTTACATCTCCCCCTGAAATGGTCTTCGTCCCTGAAATGGTTAGGCAGCAGAAGATGAAAGGATGAAGCCTTAATTTATAATTTTTATGGTTTGTTTTCTTCATTTAGAAACTTTAATCTGATTTTTGGATGTTTATTTCTGAAAACAGGCGTGTCAGTTATGATGATTTATGATCAGTTCACATTTTGGTGCCATTTGAGTTGAGTTTTTGTGTGTGAACTCACGGAAAGACAAACGACACTTGACCTGTTGCCACCTGCAGAAGGAAAGCAGAGGCAGTTTTCGTCTTAACAGACAGATGGTCAAACTGCCCACAGAACTTCCTGTGTACCAGTCATGGACGTCAGGACGGAGGACAAATGTGACGTCTCTGGCGAAGACGCTCATTTACATGGAATGTCTCAATAAGAAGGCGTGAAGAAAATTTTAGATAATCCACATCTATAAAGGGTCTAACCTGGACCCAGGATTCTCTGTGCTATTATTCATGGTTTGAGTGAGACCGGGGATTCACAGAAAGTTGAAGAAGTTCAGGATTGGACGTCAATTTTTTATACATGAATGGACACAGCAGACCATCTTCATAGACAAGCGGTACACAACCGCCAGAACCTGGGCCAGTACCAGGACCTGGAGCAGTACCAGGACTTGTACTTAGAACGGTGTCTAACATCCCACAGACGGATTGTCCTCGAGATTTTCCCCAGTCTTAATATTCAGTGAAATGACTCGAGCTCATATTTGATTCCTCACCTATCCTTCTGTGATGTCGTCTCTTTTTAAAACCTTGTTTTTCTTCTGTGCGTGCGTGTGTGTGTGTGTGTGTGTGTGTGGTTTACTTTTGAATCCTCTGCTAACTCTTTTCTAAAATGACTGTAAATAAAGTTTGGAGTTCCAGTTGCAGGTGCTGCGGAGTCCTGGCAGTCAAACACACACACACACACTTTTGTCATTAGAGCAGACTGAGGTTCCTGACATTGTCATGTTGAATGCTCTATGGACTTCCTGGGAGCAGAACTGGTTCTGAGTTCTCACAGGATCATCTGTCTGTGTCAAAGTCCAATAACACGAGTGGCCACTAGGTGGCAGTCGCGCACCTCTGACGTGCGGACAGGACGTAATCGGCTCATGTTTCTCTCACGTTGATGACTATGATGTGATGATTCCTGAAGAACAGGTCAGGTTGTAATTTAATCACGTGACTCACTACTAGCTCACAGCGAAGAGGGTTAGTGAAGATATTCATCATCATCATCATTACAGAGTGAATTCCAAACGAGGTCATCAGAATCTGACTGGGCCCCTGAATAGATGTTGGATTTCAGAGGTGGAGTTGGACTGCTCTGTGTCTGTGATGTTCGTGTAGTTTCTTCAGGTTTCACCTTTTCATTCAAGAAGTTTCTCCTCACAGAGCTGAATAAACCAGAAGTAAAGAAGAAGGTTGGATTGAAAGCTGCAGCATCTTCAGGAGAGTGTAGAAAGTCTAAGTCCTTTAGGTTTGGACTGTGGCCAGTGAAGCTTTGTAGTCCAACTGAGAAGCATTTTATACAAAAGGTATAACTGATGAAGGTCATGGTCAAGAGTCCAGACTCTGACTCACTGCTCTTTTGGTCTAATTTTTTTTTTCCTTCTGTGGAAAAAACTTTTTTTTTGAAATGCCTCAAATAATAATAATAAAAATGCTGACAGTTATTAATCAAGGTTAAATGCAGATGTGAGTCAGTTTCTGGTCCCGACTTAACCACAGTGTTGTTCTTAAAGAGGAAGAATGGGGGAATCTAAAGCAAGGTTTTCAACTGTCTGTAAATAAACACTTATTTAATGTCATAGAGGCACCAGTCAATTAAAAACTTTCTTTGTGATTTTCTTTGTAAACTTTGGTCAGCGCTAAAATCACTGGTTTTCTCTATGGACTTTGGTCTGGGACTTTGGTCTGTGAGCTAAAATCACTGATTTTCTCTATGGACTTTGGTCTGTGAGCTAAAATCACTGATTTTCTCTATGGACTTTGGTCTGTGAGCTAAAATCACTGATTTTCTCTGTGGACTTTGGTCTGTGAGCTAAAATCACTGATTTTCTCTGTGGACTTTGGTCTGTGAGCTAAAATCACTGATTTCCTCTGTGGACTTTGGTCTGTGAGCTAAAATCACTGATTTTCTCTATGGACTTTGGTCTGCACTAAAATCACTGATTTTCTCTATGGACTTTGGTCTGCACTAAAATCACTGATCTTTCTCTATGGACTTTGGTCTGTGAGCTAAAATCACTGATTTTCTCTATGGACTTTGGTCTGCACTAAAATCACTGATTTTCTCTATGGACTTTGGTCTGCACTAAAATCACTGATTTTCTCTATGGACTTTGGTCTGCACTAAAATCACTGATTTTCTCTATGGACTTTGGTCTGCACTAAAATCACTGATTTTCTCTATGGACTTTGGTCTGTGAGTGAGCAGTGGAGGCAGCATTGTTTGAATATTCCAACTAAATTCTAAGGACCAACATGATTCACTGCAGGTGTTTGATTTAAAAAAATGTATACATTTTTAATTAGTTCGACCACACCAACACACACACAGACAGTCTGACTCACACTTATTAATAGAACGATAAAAGAGAAAAAAATGTGAATATTAACACAACGCACGTTTTTGCTGAAGTTGCAGAACTGAGTCACGGCTCCATCGTCTGCTGCAGCTTCTACTTCCTCCACAACAAATAAACCACAGCGGAGTGAGGAGCAGTGACTCCACTTCTCCATCAGTAAAACACAGGCCGTTGGCAGGCTTTACAGTAGATACATGGGAAGAATAAAGTACACAGGTATTAACTATCACACCTAAAATGTACCTGGAACATTCCTTTCCTACAGGGGGTGCTGTATTGTAAGTCATTGTTGGAGGTCATTGTTGTAGATCACTGTTGTAGATCATTGTTGTAGATCACTGTTGGAGGTCATTGTTGTAGATCACTGTTGGAGGTCATTGTTAGGGTTAGGGTAATTATTGTACCTATAATAATGACAACAGTAACCTTACTGTTGTAGGTCATTGTAGGTCACTGTTGTCGGTCACTGTTGTAGGTCATTATTGTAGATCACTGTTGTAGGTTGTTGTAGGTCACTGTTGTCGGCCATTGTTGTAGGTCATTATTGTAGGTTACTGTTGTAGGTCATTGTAGGTCATTATTGTAGGTCACTGT